TCACTTGAAAAGGTTTGGGAACTGCTGAGGATAATGACAATTGTGTTCAATATTTTATTTTTCTTTTATGTTTTTCGTTTTTTTGATTTTTTTATTATATTTGCAGAAAAAGAAAGCAAATATCGTATCTGCGACAATCAGTTTTTGCAAAAGCACGGAGAACAGACGAAAAACAAAACACGCACTACTCAGAACACAAGTCGATAACGGTTCATGTGTGATTTCTAACTTGGACATTCCAGAACATTACGCGTTGGATAGTTTAAGGCTGCTGAAATATAGTTCTGCCTGATGGGAGTCCATCATATATACTTAAAACATGCTCTATGGAGTTATCTGCATAACAGATCTTTCAGGGTTCTGTTTAACTCCATCGCCATTTCCCTCGACTTCTGGCGTCCCTCAAGGCAGCCATTTAGAATCTCTTTTATTGAATTAATACATTAATGATCTCCCCTTGTTGATTAAAACCAGTCTGATCTTAATGTACGCTGACGATGTTAAACTGTTTTCTTCCTTCTCTTTGTAATCGCAATCGTATCAGCTTCAACTGATTTAAGTAAGTTCATTACATAGTTCTCGTTAAATTTTATGAAATTAAGTCTAAAAAAATGAAAGAACCTTTCTTCCGTAAGAAGGAAGTCATTGAGTCACACGCTTGATTTTATTAGCAGATGGTCTAAAGACCTGATGAATCCTTACATTACAAAGAGGCTATATATATGTGCTTAGTTAAACCAATCCTTGAGTATATCTCGATTGTGCGGTCTCCCTTCTAGTTATAATGATGATGATTGAATTGAATCAGTTCAAAAGCAATTCTTGTTGTTGGCCCTTAGGAATTCGTGTTGGGACTCACTTGTTTTTTTGGCTCCTTATAAAAATAGATTGCTTTTGTTATGCTTATCATCACTTGAGAATCATAGATTAATTTTTGGTGTCCCCTTCTTAATTAAATCAATTAATGGTACTATCGAATTGCCCACATTACTTGGTAGGATAGACTGTAATATCCCTAACCGTTTCTCTAGGCATTTTATATTCATTAAGATGAGTCAATGAACTGATTAACCCGTTCAGCGTTGTTTACAGAAACCTGAATGATGTCTATCACTTAATCTCAGTAGCGAAAACTTTAATGTCTATCAAAACAATTTTGCTTACTACGCATGATTTACCGATGTCGACGTTTAATTAACTTTTAACTTTGCAGCTGAATTATTTAACAAGAATCAATATTAGTTTACAAAAAAATGCGTTTTACCGTTTTAGGGCGTTGTACCTGTTCGTATTTATTCAGAGAGGATTTACTTGCTTTGCAGCCTCGATAGAGTTTGAATTTTGAAGAGGTTCTTTTGAATTGGATTTCATATACGAAGAGAAGGTGTGTTATGGATTGTATCGTGCGTTATTGCTCTTCAGCAAATCCATTTTCGCTCCTTTTATGGTATTTGCTGTTAATGTTATGCAAATTTCTCCGCAGCTTGATTCTTCAATATATTTAATATAGTTGCCATACGGTTTTCCACCATTCTTCTAACACGGACTGCTTGCTGCTTATACCTGTAGCGCCTGCATTTTTCTAAAGGATTTGGATTTCACAGTGCTATCCACGGTATATAATGACCATCTTCTTCTTTTCGCCTCTGTACATGTGACAGAAGACTTGTGAACAAAGTCAACCAACAATAATCTAAGAAATTGTCCCTTATTTCTAGAATGTTTAAAATATCATCTAGATCGTGTAAGTCCCTGTAACTTTAGACGATTTACTGCCACAGTGTTATAAAAAGTCACCGTTGTGGCTGGAGTTTATGCTGTGCAAGAACGACATTTTTGGATTTTATGCTCCGAGGAATATGTGAGAGCAATTAAACTGGAAGTTTCGCGAAATATTGATGCTAAATACGTCGTATCACATGCGCGCATGATATTCGAATCAATAGGCATTAAACAAACTCACATACAACTAGATTTCGTATGATAGTTATAAAGTTCCACCTCAAACTTTAATTTTATTTAGTTTCGTAATAAAAACCAAAAGTTAATTTAATTCTAATTTATCCAAACACCACTTTATTTATACCAAGAGCTTACGTTAGATATTTGTTGCCACTAAGTCATTAGCTCTGGATTAAAAAGAAAAAGAAGGGAAAAATATTTACGAGTCTTGTACCAAAATGGTCTCCGATTTGAAGTATGAACGTACCTATTTTACTACTGTTTACACTGGTTTCGAACTCAGCTCATTTGTAATAGTCATCAACAGGGGTTCCGTAAACTGTACGTACAATCCACGAATTTTGACTTCATTTCCACACGTGTACCTGATGCTATAAGACAGACAAAAGTCCAATCGTATTTTAGAATGAGTTGCTCGGCTGCAAATTTATACAACGAATTACCTGATTAATTGCCAAATTGCAATTCAATTCTCTTGCGGAACGCTTCGAGTTGATAAACTCCGCCCCGTTATTATATAGGTTTTTGGCTCAGTGCAAAATTGTGTGAAATTCGTCAAGTGATAACACTTCCACAATTAAAACAATTAAAACCTCCAACATTGAGTGTACATGGAATATAATTTTTTTCTTTTTTAAATTTATTAAAAATATTTGGTTATTATTAAAAATACAATAATAAAAATTTCGAGTCACATGTCATTTGGTTAAAAGGAATGCAAAGAAAAAAAAACAATATTATCAAATATTAGTTGCAAAGGTGTGTGGTATGTAAAGAAGAAAAGCGTTTATTTGTAACAATTTGCTTAGGGTGTGGTCTCAGCATAAAATGTAATTAACTAGGAAAAATTGCAGGCTCGTTGGCTGTACTATATTCAAACTCTGTGCGTATTAGTTTATGTATACGTGTGTATTATCGAAATTTCTTTTAAAGTAAATTCATATGATGAAATTGTTTGTTTGGCTTTAGTTTTCTTCGAAAATTAATTGTTGTTGTTTACTATATCGGTTGCCAAGCTTTTGCATGTTTGCGATGGCTTGCAATTTGGTTTTGTACTGGTTGTCAGTTTGCCTCAATGCTGTATTATATATATATATACTTTTTTTTTTTTTTCTCCTTATTTTTCCTTATACCACTTTTTCATACTAATTAATATAAGATTCACTTCTAAGAGTCAATTGAGTTCGAAGATTCACTTGAATTTTTTTAGTTGACTTTCAAATGTAAGTAAATAATATAAATAAAGCAGAGCTAATAAATCACAAGACGAAAAAGTCTGTTTATCTTTTTCTGGGAGACTCGAGTGTGTAACGCTAAGTTCGTGCGCTACGCTCCGACATGTGTTTTAGTTGAGTTGATTTATTTAGATGAGTTTGAGTAAATATATATTTAAATAGTGCACAGCAGAACTGCCAATAGCGAAGTCACAATAAGGGAAATCCGAAAACAGGTTTGCAATTTCATGATTATCATAGAAATCATTGCCATTTTACAACTTCACTGAAGGAACCGAAGAGACTTTTAAGGTTAAGTTAACTTAAACAAATATTTGAGATTAATTCGAATTGTTACTTGTATCTTTTATGTATATCTGCAATAGCATTGGTGATTCTATACTTAAAACTATGCCTAGCCATATAATATAAGAATCATACGCAGACACACTCTTCAAATACTGTTTCAAAAGTTTATTTTCTTTCTTCTTATAGTATTTAAGAACTTGAAAAAATTCCAAAAAAATGGAATATTATTTTATCGAAGTCGCATGGAGTATCCTCAGCAGCTTGCCAGAAGTCCTTACAAAAAAATTTATTTTTCTTGGATCACACAATTACAGAAAAGGTGTGCGTAATATAGCCTCAACCTAATGTTCTATTGATTGTGGCACTTACTTGCTCGCTTTGCGTATTCAATCCATTCTGTTACAACGTTTGACCTAAGCAGGTGAGACTTCCTTATTCATCCAACCGGATTTTCTTTAATTTGACATCACAAAAGAATACGCTTAATTCACTCGACTTCTTTATCGCATTTTCCGGGTTATTGTAACTTATCACAACTTACAATTGAATTCAAGTGATTTTTAAATCTTCATTAGCCATTCTTACTATTATAATCTCCATACACTCATCACTTATTGTTGTGTGTGTGTTCATATTTCTATTAAACATTTCTGTTTTATATCTCATCAATCCGAGCATAGGTCTGCTCTTGTCAATGACCAAAAAGAGAGCGGAATGACCAATGCAAATTCCATTTCGTAAGTCATGTAGGTGGCTTCTCTCCTCCTGGTGCGTGTGTGTATTGGTGTTTGCATTTATCATCTTATTTTTGCCGGTATTATTAATTTAAGTGCCTATGGGTCGCTGTCTGGTTTGTGCTAAAAATGTAACTGTTCGTCATAATGGCACAAATTGTGCTCTTTGCGAGTGCACATTTCATTTACCTGTCCTCGTGTTTGGAAGGAGCTATTCACTGTTTACGCTAAAAACAGAATTTTTTGGTACACATGGACTAGCTGCAATAAGGAGTTGATTGGAAGTAGCACTTTCGTGCAAATTAAAAATGGTTTGGCTCATGGAAACTAAGTTTAATGCAGAGTTGGAAAATAGTCGGATAAATTTAGGGACTTAGCGCCAAAACAACATACTCATGGGCGACTTGAATTGCAAATTATTTAATCTTGCGAAATCCGCCTTGACTTTTACATTCTGTCACCGTTGAAATATGCGGATTGTTCACAACTCCCTCCCATGATACATATCATAACGTAATGTGAGGCTCTACTCTCTTGCTTTACTATTTTTTAATAGCGAATAAGGAGCTTTCAGGTTCTGGGTAATTCCAATTGGCTGGAACCTCTTACCATGCCTTCATACACGTGGCTCTTAATATTGCAAAAAGTTGGCAAGTGCTCTGAATGTTATGATTATAATAGAGTAAATACTCGGGTACTGATATCCAGAATTCCGCATGGGACTTAAGTGGTATCTATAATATTTCGGATTTAGATGATCAGGTCAATAATTTAAATGGCAACCTGAACCTAATTCATAAGGTTACACCCCAAGTTACATACGTGGCGGTCAAGTGTGAGTATTGGTTTATTTGTAGTGAAATAAAATTTTATCTTTCTCTAAGTAATCTAGCAAGGCGTATTTACGTGACAGGAATGATTATAATTGCAGCAACTATTGTATACAAAGGAAATGCAAAGACAGAAATTAATAATGCAGGAGGAACAATTTTGGCATGTACTTTGGATTCATAATCTCGTGCGGGACTTCGCATTCGCTACTGACGTAGTGGAGTTCTACCTATCGGATCGTTTACAGTTTATATCTGTGGATGCTATCAAGTCTAACCCATTAAGGGTACGCAGTGGTGTGCCTCATGGCTCAATTAATGGCCCTTTGCTCCTCTGCGGGTATATGAATACGATATCTATAATATGTTTAACCTAGCTATGTCTAAGCCTATGCATTTGCTGATGATTTGTAGGTTTTATTTGAAGGGAGTGTTGATAATTTGGAAAGATACCAAGCTGAGATTGACTATCATTTGGACTGTAGCTCCCGTTAGAAGGATTTGGATGAGCTTGAGATGAATTGGGCTGAAACATATGCGGTAATATGTCGGCTCCCGAATATGCATCTAAATCTTGCACTAGATTATCTACTTAATTAGAATTGTGGAGAAAACGTGAGTGTTATTTCTTCTACTAATATAGTTACCGTCTTGTTTCTTTTTCTTCTCTTCAATTTTCTTTCCTTTTCCACTAAATTGTTTGAGAATATTTTGGATTGTTGCACTTTGTTATTACACCTATGGTAGATATTGCAATTTATTATAATAGTAGTCATTAATGACTTGAAGTTTACATGCTCAGGTAAAGTAAAAGGTGGACAATCGTCAACAAGTATTACCGAAAAATTTGGAAAACGCCGATTCTGCCATTACAAGTTGAAATTTGGTTAGTAAATAAGTAAATAAAATAAATAAACCACCGTGAACCAGTGCTCCGGAAACATTGAAGTTATGTAGAAAGAATGAAAACTCAGTATCAAGTTAGGAAAGCAAAACGTATTTTAGAACCCAGGCCTCTAACATCTTGATAAATGAAAGATAATCGGCGTAAGAATATGATAAATTTTTTGCTGCTTGACTTATTCAACATAGTCTGAAGATTAGCTGTGAGTACCAGAATTTTAAAAGGCTATATTTGTCTAAGGTGAGCTGCTGACAATTTGAATATGCTCACCCGGTTTAGGTTAACCGATAAAACTTCTTACGCCAAACGTTTCATAATGCTCTCACGCGAAGCGTCCGGTGCTAGCCTAGAGATAAATATAGCCTTACCAGGTAGACAAGTCGTTAAAGTAGCAATATTTATAACGCCATTATCCGAAGCCATAAGTGAAAAATTTTTCATAAAATTGAATGGGCCAGAACTACAGAAGAAGAGATAAGAGGCGATTAAACTTTTTTATTTTGCTCTGCGCATCCCCGTAACTTATACGCGCTAAGTTACAACGCTCGCTAATGTTAGCTTTCGTCATGGCAATTTGAGAAATTATTACGCTGATATTAATAATAGGTATTCCAAGATCTTGATTTTTCCCCACCGAGTTGATATGTAAAGCCTTTTACTAACCGACAAGGGAAGATCACGTAGTCCCAACGGAGGATTTGATGACGTAAGGTCGTCTAACTCATATTAGGAAGATTAGAAGGTTGAGGCCGATCCAATGTCCCCGGAGGGGAGTGGCCACACGCGGCCTGTCTCATTTCGAGGACAATCCCAGAAGTCCAACTAACTAAAATCATCAAACCAGGCTTTATACTTCTGAAAGTTTATAACCAAAAATATTAGCTCTTTGCTAACCTCAAACAAGTCTCTTTTTTTGCCAACAGTCGGGACATGACAACCGTAGATTTTCCGAGAAATTCCCAGCAGCATCCGTAGGTCTACCTGTGATCACAGCACATTTAAGGTGAGCGAGGCGGTCACATAACCAATCTTGGCTCCAAAAGGCGCAACCAAGTACGCAATGTAATATATAATCTTTATTATATAAATGTATCAAAAATATGCATTCATCTCCCGTTGTACGTCTCCTGAATAGTTTTATACAATTTTTATAGGCGTGGCAT